AGCCGGTTAATCCATATCTACCACTGGGGGGGGGGGGAGTTTTTTAAAAAACATTTCTTCTGTTGACCTAAGGTGAACTTAGGTCAAAAAAAGGGCAGGAAAGGTTTTTTTTCTTTTTCTTTTTGGTTCTTAAGTCAAAGCTCTGTTCTCAAGTCAAAGCAACTTTTTGCGAACGGAGCCATTCTTAACTCAAATTGTTTGTATGTAGGGATATTCTCAAGTTGAGGTACCCCTGTAGAGCATTTTCGTGTTACACGCACAATTTGCACACAAAATATACTTCTCAGTCTTTTCTTGAGTGCACCATGAAATGCACCATTCTGTCATAGGATGAATAAAGTAATTTTGCAGGTGAGGTCAAAATATGGAAGAATGTGCTTTTCTTCACATTAATATGGTCGAAAGCATTGGAATGCAAACTCAAATTTCCAAGAGATGGGTGGGGGAGCCCTGAGATGGATGAAGCTGCCAGCTCTGGCCTCTCCCACATTTACATGAGTTATGTCTTACGTGCACTTTATTCTAGAAATGAATATGTTTGCAAACATTGGAAAAGCCTATCAAAAACTGACTGGAATGAGATTTCTGACTCATCTTTGCTCAGAAAGCTCTCCTCAACCATCTCAGCAATACCACTGAGCACTATAAGTAGTACGTTAGAGGCATTAGCAGACATATCTTTCCTTCCTGACAAAGGCTGAGATACCATAAAGATGTTTCAGGTTTGGGATGTGACAAGTCGGCATGTTATAATTAACAGGTATGCGTTACTTGCCCGATGTGTGTCACTGTCACAACAAATAAGTGAAAGCAATAATGAAAGGGTGTGGAGCAGAGCAGTAGCTGCGAGCTGCTGATTCACAGAGTTTAAAGATTTCAGAGGGAACGTAGGCACTCGAGCTGCTGCCTTGTCAGTGCCTTTCAAGGCTGCTTCAGCAGAGATCTGCCACTATTCCCTTCCATGCCATCTCAGGGTCTCTCATCTTGGGAAGGTGAGAATGACAAATTGGAACTAATCTAAGCTGAAGATGGCACCCTTACAGCTGCCTCCCCTGCAGGAACAGATTTCACTCGTTCAGCTACAGGGTGACAAGTTTAGAGCAAGCTCCAGATAAAGGAAAGTTCAGCCCAGGCCTCAGGATGTGCTGTGGTTAAATCAAGTACTGTACTGTGTTGCATTTTCCTGGCCTGTTTATCGTTGCTGTAAGTACTGTAATGTATCTAGAAGGTGCAAATGCAAAACTGCTGGGCTATATTGAAAACAAAAAAATCTGCAAAAATCTGTTTCTCCCTGGGATGTTCCCAGGCATTCAAGATTATACCAAAGCATTTATTTGAGCATTTCACTGTTAGAAAACCATCTCAAGAGTTCATCAGGATCTGAAGCTATTTCCATAATTATATGTGGAAATATGAATTTATTTGTTTATTTCTCTGTTTCCTTCTCTTACTCCCGTCCTAGCCAAGTCACTGTTCATTGGTTCTCGTCCCATTTTAAGCTTGAGTATACAGCTGATTCAAGGGATGGGAAGTTCCCCTTGTGTAAAACTGGGCTTCCCTCCCCTGCTCAGACCACAAGCCACCACTCTGTACGGTGTCACCTTCTGTTCAATATTATATATCGCTCATTTTCCTGTAGGAAAAAATGCGGGAGAAGAGAAGCAAGAACCCAAGGGGTTGTTCCACTGCTGGAATTGCTCCCTTTAGAGCAGGTTTTCTGGTGGTGCATCCAGCAGTGAGTGGGTGGGTGGGGACTACAAGGGAAGAAAATCCTATTGATATTCATATCACTATATGTGTACTCACACACACACACACACACACACACACACCCACACACACACCACACACACACACACACACACACACACACACACACACACACACACACACACGTAGTATTGTTGGGTTAGTATTGTTGGGTTTGTATTGTTGCTACTAGATATTTACCCTTGCTAGTATGCTACTAGATATAAACCCAACATAATATTGTTGGGTTTGCTGTAAGAACAAGCATATGTACAAGCTTTTCCATCATAAATACGAGTATGTCATTTGCTTGTCACCTACCTCAGCAAACACAATCGATCATAAAAGGGGATTCAAAAACTGGATTTTCCACCAGAAGAAAAAAAAATCTACCACTTCACTGACATAAACAACCATCCCAATAGCTGACTCACTGCCCCCAGCAGTAAGCGTTTACAGCTCTGTTATTAAACTCATGTCTTGTGGATTATGAAGTTTTCCACCATTGGGAAATCCCTATGAAATCATAACCCCTGTTCTCTGTTTTCTTGAGAAATGTTTGTAGGCATCGGCCTACAATGGTGGAAAACTTGTGTATCAAGATTTATTGTCCATCATCTTTCTTACATTGGTTTGTACTTTGCACCATCTGGGCTGAACCAAATAGACACCTAACAGATGTGAAACAAAGAAGAAAGTGCATACCTGAGGCTCACAACATGGTCAAAGAAATATATGTGCCAGGGTCAAAAGGACAGGAGGGAGAGAACCAGTATTCTGCTTCTACTGTATTCACTGGTTGGTGAAAAGGTAAGGAAATAAGTCATGTAGGGGTTATGTAATTTGCTGCAGATAATTCTTTCTAATTGACAGGGTCCTGTAGCTTGATTGCACAATTGGGCTTTTAAACATGTACATGGCTGAGAGATGGCCCAGCAATGAGTTAATTAGCTGCAATGAGCTGTGGTAAGCTACACAAGACATATATGAACACCAAAGGTCCAATGAGGCTGTATAGTAATACAATGATGCCTAGTTTTAAATGGAGGAAAATTGTTCTGACTAAAGTGGAAGTCCATAGGGAGCGGGATGAATGAATGACATTGATAAGTACTGTATTTTTCCGTGTATAAGACACCCCATGTATAAGACGCCCCCCACTTTTCTAACCCAAAATTAAGAAATTTAAGTGGGCCTTAGAAAGTATAGGGGGAAAGGGATCAAAGTGCTGCAGGATTGCTTTGATCCCTGCTTTCTCCCTTCGTGCTAAGCCCTGCAGGGCTTAGCAAAAGGAGGGGGGAAAGGATCAAACCAATCCCGCAACTGCATGATCGTTTTGATCCCTTTCCTCCTTATACAGCCACGGGATTGCTTTGATTCTTTCCCCCATCCTTTTGTTAAGCCCCATGGGACCTAGCAAGCAGAGGGGAAAGCAAGGATCAAAGCAATCCTGCAGCACTTTGATCCCTGCTTTCCTTTTGCTAAGGATTAGCAAATGGAGGGGAAAGCAGGGATCAAAGCCCTACAGGAACAATTTGATCCCTGCTTTCCCCTCCACTTGTTTTTGTTCTCTCCCCACCTTACTTCTGTGTATAAGACTCAGTTTTTAGTCTAAAAATTTTAGACAAAAGTATAGTCTTATACACGGAAAACTACGGTAGTAATAACTCATGTGTGATGTTGTTGATATAGCAATCCCAATAAACAGTGTCCATGAAAGTTTAATATTTAAAGGAGGTTTTCCACATCCTACCAGAAAGAGAAAGTTAACTATCTTGCTACAAATATCTAGTAGTCTGGTGCATAATTCACAGTTTAGGCAGGGTAATTTTCTCAGGAAAACTAATTAAAATGCAGAAATGCTGTTCTTAATTGGTGGCTATCCCTCCAACTACATTTCATTAGTGTATCAAGATTCTGATTTCAAATGCTGCTGATAAAAAGGTCATTCAGTAAACTTTAACAAATGAACTCCTTGCAGTGAATTATTCATTAACTATGGAGTAGGTACATTATCAAGATCTTACTATTCCTGTTCCAGAAATGGGCAGCATTCTACTTACTGTATTCATTTTAAGTTTTTAGTTACATTAGGCATTTTTGTAAGTGATGTGGTAAAATGCAAGCAAATCTAATGCTTTTCATTCCACCTCATTAGTGGTCCTTTTAGTTCAGAATGGCTGAGTTTCCATTAACTGAGGAAAAGGCTAAAATTATAATCTGCTATCAGTTCAGCAATTTTAAAAAGGTAATATAGTTTGTTTTGTTTTGTTTTTTGCCTGTAGTATCTAGTTTCTCAAGTGGGATTGGAAATGATGGACCAGATGTGGCTCAAAACTATTAGGAACCCCCATCGTAGTTCACTGGTAATGATCACAATCCAACATGTCCTGAAGAATATGCTATCGTATGCAAGTAAAGAAAGTTGTTCGTCTGTAATTGCAGATACTTACACAACATATTCTTCCACCTCATTCCTGCCACAGCAACAAAACAGCCCTTGAGAGGTATAAGAAACTCAGCAGCATTTTAGCTTTTATGGCATGAGCCAAATGGATTAGACTTTGAGACAGAGCTTGAAGATTAATGTTGAAGCTATTCATAATTGGACAGAGGTAGGATGATGTTCTGCTCTAAGAGTCAATCTCTCCACCTTCACAAATAATTATAGTGAGAATGGCTTGGTCAAATCATTTATTCATTTGCATCAGATACTTCCTGTATTTTGACAGCTAGTCTGGGTAAAGGGTTCTATCCAAGCCTTCTTCTTGCTTTATTACGAGTCAGTTGGAAGAATAAATTTTGTGATTCCTCCACTTGCATGCATAGATGATAGAGGAAATTCCTAGGGACTGATAGCTGGCTTGACTTGACGTTGACTCCTAATTCATGTAGATCTGTAAATTTTGCTTCCTTTTAAATATGAGTAAAAGGAGAGGTCTGGGAAGCAGTGGTCTTACAGATATTCCTGAACTACTACTCTCATCACTCTCAGCCACTATGACCAATGCTCAGGGATCTAGGGGGGTGCAATCAAATCATATGTGGAGGCCCATATGTTCCCCAACCCCGCTGTAAGAAGTAAATGACCAATGGGGAGCCTATGACCTGCAGATGCTATTGAACTCCAGCTCTGATCACCTCCAGTCAGCCTGGCCAACAGCCAGGGATGATGAAAACTGTATCTAACAAAAGTTAGAAGGCCAATGCAAATCAAGAAAGATTCATAGCCCTGCATTGCATGCCCATACCTGTAGTTGCCAAGATAAACTCCATCTGGATTAAGCATAGGAGCAATTTTGAACACCAGATGATCTCGGAGGACTTTGGCAATTGGATGTGGACTCACAAGAAAATCAATGATACCTAAAAGAAATAAGGGGAAATGTATTTATTTTTCCTTATTATAACACAGACATTTACAGTTTTTTATAAAATATATTTAATTCTAGATAGTAGTTAGTAGTTTTCAAGGGACACAGATGTGCACCAGTAATTTTCAATAATCCATATACCAATAACATATTTTCTGTGTTGCCTCTTGCCCCCTCTCCCCCAGCTATTAAAATGGTTTGGCATGGGCTAACTGGATACACTTTCCTTTTTAAAAATAATGCAGACAACATTTGGTGTTAAACTAATATGCACTGTATGAAAGCAAATTAAAAGTCATTTGGCAGAAGAGCAGCACATGGCAGAGTAAAAGATCTGAAAGCCATGCTTTTTCAAAACTGATCCATTTTGGCATAATTAGTGTATGATTTTAACAGATCTATTACAATGACAGACACATAGGAAACCATTTCAGAGCCACTCCCATGGAGGAAATGTGATGTGACAGATGCACCATGTCACCAAAAAACACTCATGCGTTGTTCTCTCCCTTCCTCCTAGTCTATCAAAAGAACTGTATATACTTCTGTATTGTTTGAAGTACATTTACCAAATATTATTTGTGTTTTGTTCTGTCTTTTCTTGATTTATTGAGAAATCTGAAGACAATCTGGATTTTACTGGCACACCTGGATTTCCCCCTTCACTAAGTAATTGCCATTTCACCAGCCTAACTTAAGGGTGGGGAGAGAGGGGAGGTCCTTTTTGTTAAATAGCAGGAAGCTAGAATCCTTTGTTTATCTCTTACCAATAAGAGTGGGGTCTACCATTCTGTTTCCTAGCAGTGGTACTGACCAGGAGATGTTTACAGTGCTGGAGAATGTACATCAAGCAAAATATATATAAAAAAAGACTAGATCATTTGGCTGCACTGACACCCTTTCCCACCATGGACAATGTAAATGTTGCTAGTGTTTTCAACTGACCAAGGAGCCCATATGTCCAGACAAGATGAGTGTACTTTTGAGTTCACTGTGAGGACTTAGATAGAGGGCCAGGACTATGTAAATCTAAACCCACCGTGTTACCTGATGAAACCCATTTGTCTGCAGCTCTCTCCTATATAACTTCAGAACTCAAGATTCAACCTTCCCAATTTCTGCCCATGTTTACTTTCTATATCTTACCCAAAGAGGAATATCTCCCTTCAATTTTGCACAGCTTGTGTGTGTGTATGTGTCTGTGTGTGTGCGTGTGTGCGTCCGTGCGTCCGTGTGTGTATGTGTGTGTGTGTGCGTGCGCGCACATTTCAGTTCATGCCTCTTTGATTAACCAAATAAAGGTGCCACCTTAGTATGGATTTTGGAATTATTTCTAGAAGCATGTTTTTAAAAAAGACATTGGGCTGGATCTACTCTGTGAAAGCAATGGCATTTAACTTAGCCATGGATTCAATCTACCATGCTTATCTTCCCCAGGACCAACATGCTGAATGTTGAGACTTTGAACAGAAAACATTTCTGCAAGCTCAGGGAAGTAGGTTTTTGGGTGTTTTTTTAAAAGTACCAACTTCAAGAAGAAGGGGAGGGAGAATATGTGGCAGCCTTCACTGAACATCTCATCTAGAAACCTTTACAGCAAAAGTTAAAGGCAGGTTCTAAAGGCAAAATAGATTTTTTTTCTATTGATCACTGGAACAAAGATGAAATATGCCCTCTGTATGTATAGATACAATGAAATCATAGTGAGGACACAGACAATCAATAAAATTACCTCAGATCTTTTGTTTAGATTAAGATGATGGCCTTTCTGATCAATAAAATTTAAAACAAAAAAAGCCTTGGAAAGACTTTCTGAAAGCTAAGAGAATCTACTCTTCATGTTAATAAATCAATATGAACAAAAATCTACATCTATATTCAACAAGAGACATATTTTATGTTTCATTAGACAAAGGGGAAGAACCTTGCAGAAGCCAAATCCATTTAATATAATTTAGTTGAAGGCAGACACTGCAATACAACAGATGCCCTAATTTATTTGTTGGTCCTTGTATTAAAATAACAGTTTGCTGGTAAACAGGAAGACTAATGAAGCCAGTCACCCTTGTTAGTGGCTAATAATTGCTTAATTTGTCCACTAATTGACCTATGCTACTCTTGAAGCACTGGACCATGTTGCAGGGCTGGAGGAAAACAAGACCACTCTAATGTTACCTCTGAGAATGACTGCCGGAAATGGAAGTACTTGTTGAAATATATTTTCTCTTCACAGATGAGCAGATTAACTGGCCTGCCAATTAGTATACCATTAAATAAATTAACTGTATTCTTATAGATTTGTTTGGATTTTGGAACTTTGACTCTGCTCCAGATCAGAGAGATCCAATTTCAGTCAGCCAAGTCAAACTCTTAGGGGAACAGGATGAAACTCCATTTTAACATGCTAATATATCACTTCATATCAATTTATTTAGTTGTACACATTTGCATGATACCTTCTATAATTAATATGATATCAATATGTATTTAGTATCTGTTTAGTATATTTATAATATGAAAATGTATTCCTTGCTTAGAAACTGTATTCTCTGCTCCACTAGGCTGGGCCTCTCTTGACATTTTCTGACTTTGCAGCTTTCAAGCAACATTCCTACATTTCAAAGCAAATGGGCTACAGTGACCTCTGAGACCTAGGCAACAGGAAGATATCACACCACAATGAGATAACATTTAAGTTTTATTTACAACAATAAGACGAACTAGATAGCTTTTCTGGCCACAATGGGATGTGTAAGGAAGGAAACCAACTATACTGAGACATAGGAAATGCAACATAAACATCTTAATAAGATAAGGAGAATCAAAGAACATCCTCTTCAGACATGTTGGCGCATCCTGGGCATAGCTTGACCTAAGGTCAAGGGGGGTATGGGGTACCGTATGGATATTCAGGTATAGCCTATGACCATGTTTTAAAAAGTTCTCAGACCCAGTAGAAAGAAGGATCCAAACTTGGGATCCAAAGGACCAATAGGGAATGATTCGCTGTATTGCCCTTTGTGTAAGAACATTATAAAATATCTATGCATTCTTTGTTCAGGGCCCTTCTCTGCTTTTAAAATGAAGGGCCCAGCTGTACTTCTCTAATAAAATTGACTGTGGTATCAGCTGTCTTGTGCATCTTAGTCTGTCGTCCTTGCTGGAGATTCATATCAGCTGTCTTGTGCATCTTAGTCTGTCATCCTGGAGATTCGAATTTAAAAATCAAGGTTAACAAAACAAGCAATATAAATAACATTTTCCTTCTTCTTCTTCTTCTTCTTCTTCTGAAGATAAAATATGTCTTCATGGATAAAGCCCAATACTATGAACCAGGATTTCATCTGGGATTTAGACCGTGTTGTTGTTTTCATCGTTCATTATCAAGCTCCAAGTCTGTTCTTGTTCTCTGCACAATACAGTTATAAACTGGTGCGATATCACAATTTGACTAACTCCCTTTTACAGTATTTCTTTATTCTCCTTTGATTTTTAGCCCCTTTCAGTCACTATTGCATAACTATATTGTGAATATAGTTAAAGGGGAGTGGGTAGTTCCACACCACTCTGTTGGCATTTTTTCTGTGCAAGCAAGGACAAGTCTGAAGAGAGGTTCTTGCTTGTGTGGAACTTTTCAAAACCAAGCAAGAACCCAGCTTTTCCAGATGTCTTACTAGTGACTACAGCCTACATGCAAATAGGAGCCTCTCCTCTTTGATGGAGAAACTGCAAAGTAGAGCAATGAGTCCAAGCTCCCCCCCCTCATCCTCACAACACTGAATGCAATAACTCTGAAATAGGGGTTTTCCCCAAAACTTTACTACTACTATAGAACCTAGCTGTCAAATTGCCCATGCCAAACTCCTTTACTGGTTTGTTTTCTTCACATAATACTTACAAATACTGTCTTTCAAGTGTCTCTGAAAGTCTACCACATCATCTTCTATGAAGCTGAGTTATGTAAGAACTGCAGATCAGTACTGTTACTGACCCTTTCATCCAAATGACATAATTTCCTCCTATTCAACTGTACACAGATTTCTCAGAAGTAAGACCATATTTTTAGTTCCTCAGCCACATCACATCATAAAAAGTGGGAGAAATGTTAACAGAAAGTTAGTGCTTGCAGATTCTTCCTGGTGGCATTAAGAATCTCTACAAAAGTAAAATGATCCTGCAGAATTTTCTTTTGGGGGACTATAGCTCCCAGAATCCTTTAGTCCAGTGGTCCCCAACCTTGGGCCTCCAGATGTTCTTGGACTACAACTCCCAGAAGCCTTCACGACTTCCTCTGCTAGCCAGGATTTCTGGGAGTTGAAGTCCAAGAACATCTGGAGGCCCAGGGTTGGGGACCACTGCAGTTTAGTCAACATGGTTACTGGCCTTGATAGCTGTGGAATTCAGGGAGCTTAGTCCAAAACATAACTGTTCTAAGCTTTTTCCAACTGCCTCCTTGATAAATCAATGCATTCCTATGCAAATATATAGATGATAGGAGTACTAAGGATATTTCTCTACATAATTCATATTTTTCCACTGTCAACAAAGAAAGGGTTGTTCCTTGAAAGTATTCAAAATAGGCTGAAGTATTTCTGATCCTCACTGAAAACAAATGTTAATAAATTAGCCATGTCGGCTTGTATAATGGATATCGATAAGTTCAAGCGTTATGCTGTCAGGAGAATTTTCTCTGGAAAGGATGATTGCCTAAAATAATCCATAATGCACAGTCAGTGTGTATGCTGACACTGCTCATTTCTGGAGGGAGGGAGAGGCCTGCTGTCAAGATTTTATTTTTAAAAGGAGAATTGTCAATACAGATGAAGAGTGAAAAACTTGTGGAAGATGATGGGAAAGAAGTTGAACTTCAGTTCTCATATTTAAATATTTAGCAGTGTAATCTAGATGTCTCCTCATAAGTAAGTACCATTGTATCGATGAGAACTTACACTCAGGAGAGTATGTTTGAGATTGTAGCTATATATCTAAGCA